GAATCAATAGAAACCGCGCGAACGCGTAAACCTAATTGTCCCCGCGATTCTTGAATAAATATTCGCTGCGATGTAAATAATACCTGGAGAAGGAGCAAGTGCTCTTGTAGGAGGGATCTCGTACGGGCAGTTGCCATTATTCTTTCTCCCGATACAAAGGCGGCTACAACGGGTGCGGTATTCGGGATTTACAATTGCGCCTCGGATGCCGACATCCAAGCGCACGCCCCCGAATTCTGCTCGAGTGGCCCTCGCTACGGCGGAGCAATTGAAACGAAGACAACCAGAGGGGCGAAGCAGGTACCGTGTACACGCGAAACGTTTCCTGTGTTACGGCACGATTGTAGTTTCGTTTCAACGCGGCTCTCTATAACAGAAACTCGCGCACTCCTTAGATAAATTAATTATTCGGGATTTTCGCGTTTCTAACCACCGGTGTACATTTTCTGGTGGTTTTCTGTTCCGAAAATATCACGGAAATCGCTTTGACACGTATTAGAATGATTTGATACCACGGGAAACGCGTTATTATAACAAACTCGAGGAATGTTAATACCGTGATTAAATAATGACGTTTATTACTCGATGATAAACATATTTATAAATTATGTTTCTGACGGAGGACTTAAAACCAGGGAAATTAATTAATTTGCAACGCACGAGACTCGAAAGTTTTGAGGTAATGTCAGTGTTTACTGAATCATTAGAATATTAATTTCCTATTATTTCCCGATCTAACAAAGTCATATACATTCACTTAATTGATTTTGCGCGCAATACGTAAACTCGAGAATGATGTAATTGATATTTGAAATATTCTAATATTAACCAATCACGATTGATAATATTATTTATAACGCTTGACAATGCTACAATGATGTGACATAATGCAACGTCGGATATTATTCCAAATAAAGTGAGATGTATAGATCATTCATTATGTACCCTTTTAGCGAAACATTTCCATGTTTAACAATGAAACTACCGAGCAGTTAAATTGACTTCGCGAAATTCCTTTATAAATTTCAATAGTACATCTGTCGAGATTTTAAGTGCTTCACAGACTAGTTTGCGCATTGCTAAATCAATTTCTTTAATAATTCCTGAGAGAAACATCCGTCATCTTTTTAATAATTCCAAAATGAAGAAATCAGGAATACGTCGTTTTGACTCGTAGGTAGACAGGTCCAATGTTAAATATTAAGAGAAAGGAATCTCTGCAGATTCTCTTACTGCTCGATTAATAGAATTAAATATTAAAGCCTTTTTATGTTCACAAATTGAGCTTAAAGATCGAAAGCGGAGCTAAAGAGATTAGTGTATCTAAATTCATAGAACAGCTCGAGTGAACCTCTATAAAAAGATCATTCAAAAATACGAAATCAAGTTTTGCAGTAGATCACACCGGTTCCAAAATCAAAGGATCAAACCTTGGCATTCCACCCTCACACGCACGGCGCGCAAGTAAAATTCGAAGTCTTCAACCCTCGGGCTACAAACAGAAGAGACATGAAAAAAAGTATCACTCGAGTAAAAGAATCGTTTCAAGCAACGCCGAGCAACCTGCACAAGTATCCGCGCACAATCTCCGAGTGGTGATCGAAAAAACCGGCTCGAAGACGCGCGCCCCCGGGACGGAACGTTCGTAGTGCTCTCGAAGAAGTCAGGATCGGTGAAAAGCAGGCCGGTATTAAAGCGAACGATAAAGACGAGTGGCCACTGACAGCAGTCAAGCAGTCAAATGAAATCAAACAAACTCACTGGGAGAGTACATAACCGTGCAGCCCCGGAGTTAACGTCATCATTCGTAGGCGGCCGAATACAGGCCACTCGAAGCGAACAAAGTTC